GGACTTCAGAATCTCAGTTTCCTTCATTTGCTTTTTGTTTAAGCGTATTAAAAACCCAGCGTCTTCTCCAGGACATTGCTTGCTTGGAAGTACAGTTGCACTTTCAGGCTGCACTGGCCGCAGAATGCATGCATGTCTCCGGAGATGGAAATCTTCGCTGGGTCAGGCTCCAGCTCTTGGAAATCACAAGCAAAGTCATTGCAAAACAACAACCGCAACCCAAAAGGCGTTGCCTGGCCGACTTACCTGTCTGCTTTTGAAGTTTTATTTTGATCAGGGCGAGAACAGTGATAGTGATGAAAATCAGTAAAATGAGAGCTGGTAACACAACTGGGAGCAGATGTGATTCACTTGATGAGCTGGAAAGACGAACCACCAGAATTAAATTGGATTTTGATTCAGCTACGGGGTGGCTGAAGTACCTTAATGCAGGCTGTTGTTTTTACACCGAGGAGTATAGAGGAGTTACGAACTCTGATTGAATCAAAGGAGAACAGTCAACAAAGTCAAGTAGAGATGAAATCATTTGATCTGGAGTTTGGCTTATGAGGAAGTAATTTCTACAGCTGCCTCCTCTCTACTGCGTGGGGTTTATGCTGCCAGCTGAATTAGCCCCCCCAAAAGGAAAACGAGCTATCTTAATGATACAAATTCACAAGCAATGTTCATATACTTTCTCTGTGAGTTGTTGTAGATCCTCACGCTGTTGGATGGTGTCTACCTGCCACCTCCGTGCATAAAAGATCTAAATGCTATCAGAGCTCCACAGGCAGAGAGCGCTTTGCCAGGAACGGTGCAAAATCTGACCCTTTGTACAACGGCATGATTCGGGCTTGGTAACATGCTCTGCTCTCCTCTCCTCTTTCTGGCTGGATGGCAGGGAGATATGGTTGGAGGGAGGCTGAGGATGGAGAAGACGGTGCTTCTTGTGCTGGGAGTCACTGGAGCAGATGCCAGCTCCGAGGTGCATGGAGGGCCAGCTCGGGATATTGAACTGGATTGTGGACTTTGTGGTTTATCTTCAGTTACGACTGATATTGCAATATCTGATGCATCTGCACCAGCTATGCAAATCACTTCCCCTGGTGCTGGATGGTGACCACAGCTGGGGTGAGGTGTGAGGGATGCTCCCAGGCATCCTCTGTAACGGGGAGAACCGAAGGTAAATTCACCGGGGAAACCACTTGCACTGGGGTGAGCTGCAGGGCTTGCTGTAGAGAGCTACCATGGGATAATTAGTGGCCAAAATAGCTCACAGCCTTTTGATTAACCTCGTCCAAAGATAGCTCCTTATGCAACACAGAGCACCCAAACACCACCCGGGTTACTGGCTACCTACAGGGGCTTGGATAACGAGTGTGGTGAAGTCTGCAGCACCTGCAGATTCACCAGCGTTATTGCTCAAGCCTAATGTTTCCTAATGTCCTGTCTCCATCCTGAGCGAGGGAAAACAGACAGGAGCACATCTATTGACTCTGGCATCTGATCTACAGGAGTGGCCAGCACCAGAAGATTTAGTGACAAGTTCAAAGATACGTGCCACGGGTGGACATGAGATAACCTTGCCGTCTGCTTCTCTAATTACTAATGTCTGCTATCGGTGCTTTCAACTTGCAACCTGCGCACAACCCATGTAGGGCCCTGGGAAATGGGGCAGACCGGTCGTAAACCACCACGTTAGTGCCAATGAGAAACGTGGCCGTGAACTTACCTCTCGTGATGGATTTCATTTGGGGAGGTTACAAAGGTGCTGGGGGGGGCAGTGGGCAGCAGGGTGCTGGTCCTCTCGGTGACAGTGCCTGTCGTGTACGTCAGGCCCGTGATGCTCCGCTGCGTGGGTGTGCTGTAGATGGCCCGACTTGATAAAGTGGGTTTCACAAGAGTGGATGTTTCTGGGCCTTGTGAAGAGCGGGTTTCTATGGAGAAAATTGTTTTAAGGCTTGAATATCCATCTTTTTGTAGCGGTAACGTGGTAGATTTACCAAAGATCTACGCATTTCACCTTGTGTCTCAGCATGAAAAAATATGCAGCAGAATATGACCAAACCCAAGCATTTCTATTTTCCTTTGAGTCTTACGGAATGCAGCTTGGGAGTACTAGTGAAAACCCATTAATACTTGGCAAACGTTCATACTTTAACCCTGCTATTTCTGTCTATGCTAGCTGAACCAGTTACATGGATTTGTGTATTTACACGCCATAGTTTCTAAAATTGCAAGATAACCTCCAGCTTATCTTCAGAGCAAAGCGAATGTCTCTGAGCTGCACCTGCTAGGATCAGGATGTCATACGCTAGGGGTTTGCATCACAAATAATCAATAATATAATTCAAACAAACTAAATTTCCTCTGAAAGCTCAGCTTACATCCCTGTCTCTGAAAACCTTTACCATCACCTCAGCTACTTGCCAATAACTGTAAGGCAAAATGTGTAGCTGACTTTTCTCATAATGTTGTTATGTTTATGCATAGTACAAAGGACAGTGTATTCTCAAGTCCATGAAGGGGTAGAGGAAAGTGATTTAAAATAAGAAAAAGGATTTATCGTGTTGCAAACCACCCCACCACCTACCCTTCTGGATGCGCAGCTTCACAGAGGACGTGTGCTCTGTGTGCCCGTTTTTAGCCCCGCACCAGTACCATCCTTCATCCTCCTCCCTCAGGTGGCTCATCACCACTGTGTAAGTCCCGTTGTCCTGGTCGCCACCAGCTATTTGTATTCGCCCTTCGTAGGACTCGTGCACAAACCCATCCGCATCTGCGAGCAGTGAGCAGCTAGCTTCCTTCCACCTGCACAAATACTTCTTCTCGTAGTTCCCCTTGGGATCATAGTGGCACTTCAAGGACAGTGAGCCTCCGACTGTGCCGCTGAGAAATTTCGGTCTCTTGGGAAGAGTGGAGGCTGCAGGTTGGAGAGGACTGCGTTAGCATTTCACGCTCCTCATCCGGGGCTGTGGGGAACCCGTGCAGCCCCCAGCACCCCGTCCTACCTGCGGTCACCTGCAGAGCCACCACCCGTGGGCTGTCCTGACTGCTAAGCCTTCCCGTCCCACACCTGTACAGCCCTGAGTCTTCCTTTTTTAAGTCATTTATCAAGATTTTGAAAGCTCCAGAGCTCTCCTGAGGGGTGATAAAGATTCGTCCTTGGTAATTCTTTCCCACGTAGCCATCGGTGTCGGCTATGAGAGCACAGCCAGTTCTCCCCAGTTTGCACCAGAACCTCTTCTCGCCACCTTGGGTGTCCCCAGGTGGGCACAGGACCGTGACGGAGCCGCGGAGCTCCCCTTGGAAGAGCTTGGTCGGCCCCAATGCGCCGGCATCTGTAGGGAGAGAGCACGGCAGGCACTGTCCAGCATGCAGTCCCCAGCCAGGCAGGAGAGAGTTTCCTTTCACATTTATGAACAGGCCAAATCTGGGTACTTTTATACCCCCACATTGTAAATATCTGGTTAACGGTGCAGGGTAGAAAAAGTTGATACGCCTGCTGTGAGTGGATGCTCCAGCATCTGGCCCCAAACTGCTCCCCGTGAGCTGAGCTGCCGGCGGAGCAGAGCCTCCCCTCTCCCTTGCCAGCATCCTACCTGCCAAAACCGTCAGGTTCAGGCTGACGTACAGGTCTCTGTTGGTGTTGCCGATGCCACATCGGTAGGTCCCCGTGTCGCTCCTCTTCAGCTCTGTCATCGTCACCGTGAAGGTGCCGTTCTGGGGGATATCCTCCAGAGACACTCGCCCCGTGTGGTTTTTTGAGGTGTAGCCGGTTGTAGAAATGACGGTGTAGCAAACTCCGCTTCTTGCTATTTTGCACCAATATTTTCGGTCGTATTTGTTGGCTGGCATGATGGAGTAGAAGCACTGATGGGTGACCGATCCTCCAACCTCACCTATCAAAAACCTGGATCCGTACAAGGTGCTTGAAACTGGTTCTTTTGGGGAAAGAAAGAAACAGAAGTTGTTACTCAGAGACAACCAGATCCTTGCCTGACAAGAACCAGCATAGCTCCTTCAAGGCAGGGGCGTGATTATGAGTGGCACCAGTGGGACATCTGGCTCAGAAAGTTCAGAGTTTGTTTTGGATGTGGTGTGTTACCTTCCTTGTGTGCCGCCTTATCCACTTGAGGATAACTGGTGGTGCAGAGCCACTGCCCTGTGCCATGCCACAGATGGGGAAACCCTCGATGCCCCTTACGGGATGCCCCAAACCCCCATCAGCCCTGACAGTCCTGCCTGGAGCTAACTGTCAAGGGCGGCAGTTAACAGCAAACATCTAAGAATAACCCTTGCCGTTCACAAACTCTGCCTGATCTGGCAGCTTGCTTCTCCCTGCAGATGCAGGCACAAGGGGCTGCCTGCAGCCCCCAGCAACGGAGAGCTGGGACTCTCCTTCCCAGCTCTTGCCATGCCTTTGCTCGCTCTCTGCGGACTTTGGGTGGGCAGGGAGGTCTGCCCAGTCTCCGTTTTGCAGGTGGAGGTGTCTAGTGTCCAAGTGAGGATGTAGCCAGGGATCTGCTTGTGTCCTCAGTTCCAGCTTTGCCCATTCTCATCAGTGCAGGTGGCTGGAGAGTTGGTTTCTTGGTGACTCACCTTGCAGCAAAGCTGCTAAGAGAAAGAGAACCACCATGTCCAGCCTTCAGGAATGTTCGCTCAGCAAACTTCAAAAATCTCGCGTTGGATACGGGATTTTGCTGATGTCTGTGTTACAAGACAGAAGAGAGAGATTGTGGCTGGGATTTGCCAAGCTAAAGCACCCAGATTGCTCTGATGGCCGTTCGGAGCAGAGCACCCTCGTCCCTTGTGGTTCCCAGCCCGCGACACAGCCCAGCCCAAGGATAAAGTAATTTCAAAAAGAAAAAAAAGTGCTAATAATGGTCTGCAGCTCTCACACTCCCACATTACATCCTCTGTTGTTTGGGCAGGATGGTTACTAAAGGCATTGCTGGGAGCGAGAGGGCAGTGGGAGCCGAAAGCCGGGAGTCTGTCGGGCTGGCGAGGGACCCGTTGTGGGGCTGCAGCTGAGCCACGGCACCGCAGCGACCAAGCAGCAGCCCCCGCCAGCTCTGCTGCGACCCCGACACTGCGTCATGCACGGAGGCATCCAAGGGTTCCTTTGGTGGTTGCCAAACCTGGCACCGGGCAGCCAGCAGCGGCCATGAGACGTGGCACTTGGTCCTGCCCTGCCACCTGGCCAGCCATCTGCAGACCTGTGGCATCTGTGGCACCTGTGGCCCTTTCTTTTCTTTTCTTCTTTGTTTTCTTTCAGCTCAAGAAACAATAGGAAATGCTGCAGGTT